TAAATACATAAAGGATATTTGTGTTGTTTAACATTTAATTTTTGCAGGTTCACGTCATATTCTGAGTTGCATTATTTTTATTCCTTTTGAGGAATACTGAATCTGTGTGTTTTTTTTTTTTGTGAGTGAGATAAATTAATGCATATTCATATTGATTTTAGAACTACAGTAACATCATCTGATTTCTCTCAACATGGGGACAGGAGAGCTGTCAATCAATAAATTGGGGAAAAAAAAGTAACTTGTGTTACTTATTTGAAAAAGGAACTCCGATATTCTCTTGTAAATTAAAAAGTAATGCGTTTACTAGTAATGAGTTACCTGAAAAAAGTAATCTGATTACATAACTCACGTTACTTGTAATGTGTTACCCCCAACACTGGTCTTCACTGGCACTTTTGAATGCATTATGCAATTATTAATTTATAAATTTTCTTTCTTAAAAAAAACTTACTGACCCCAACCTTTTAAACAAGCTTCAATTTTCAGATTTCAAATTTCAGCTTCAGATTTATTGACCCTCCTTTTTCAGCATACATATTGTACTGTTCATGCATACTCAAAAATAAAGAGTTGACAGCAAGCATCTATTATTATCCATTACAAGGCAAACATAAATGTTATGTTTAAGCCTTTTTGCAAGGCTTATGTGGCAAGTACGTAATAATAAATTATAGTGGTAATGTTGCATCATTATGTAGGCTATGCATGTACTGCATGAACTATACGCTTACAAGTTTTAGAATACAGAGGTGTTGTGAAACTAAATTAAGTTTTTGCTGCAAGACGCCAAGAATGACAATATAAATGGACTTAAGGGGAAAAAAATTAAAGGCTACGAACGTGTAGTGTTGTATTCCCTTTAATGTGTTTAAAGTATTTAAAATGCTTGTCAAGACAGAAATTGGGCTTTGCTGCCTGCAGTTCTTTAATGTCATGTCTTTGGTTCCAGGTTGCTGGAAGAGTTTGTCAACCACATTGAGGAACTAAAACAGCTGGATGAAAGGATTCAAAGGAAGGTGGAGAAGTTGGAGCAGCAATGTCACCGTGAAGCCAAGGAGTTTGCCCACAAGGTCCAAGACCTGCAAAGAAGCAACCAAGTCAGTGGCCTATACATTTTTGCATGTATTTTAAGATGTCAAAAGACAAGGGGATCTTTGAACCATTTGGGTAGCCATATGTTACTTCACACTGAATTACATTACATGTGCCTATAAATGTACCCTATATGACCTTCACTTTCTTGTCATGTTTGTTTCAAAGGTAGCCTTCCAGCACTTCCAGGAGTTGGACGAACATATCAGTTACGTGGCCACCAAGGTGTGTCATCTGGGAGATCAGCTAGAAGGAGTCAATACACCAAGACAGAGGGCAGTGGAGGCTCAGAGACTCATGACATACTTCAACGAGTTCCTGGATGGAGAACTGCGCAGTGATGTCTTCAACAATCCGGATAAGGTCAGATTTAGATAGACTGCCTAGTAATATTACATCTTAAGTACTCAACTTCAGAAGCCGAGAGGACCACATTCAAACCACAAATGATACAAAGGGCTACAATTAAATATTGGCCTATATTTTCATTGATTTCCTGCGTAAAAAAAAAAGTCTGTTTAATTTCAAGTGTAGCTACATCATTCAGAATCTTGGGCATGATCTGAGTAAATTCAGTTGTTGTGTGGCATCAGACAGACAATGTTGTACATGAATGCGCCATCTTTTAAGGATTACAGTTAGTTGTGTTGTAAAATGTTTGTATGGTGTAGCTTCTCTTAGTCGTCGTCATTTGTGGGAGATAATGCCATTTTGGCCGATGAGCTGGTTATTTATTCATAACTGGGCATGCATGTCATAGGCTAAAAATAAATAAGTGAGGGGCCGTTTGCACCAGCTGTGGGAAAGTTAGTTGCAACGTATAGGGGCACTAAGTTATAACTTATGCACTATTAAATATTTGCATAATTACGCTAATGAAGTAAATATTTACGGAACCTTCAGGGTTGGAATAAAACACATTGATGGAATTGCATCAGTAAACTCGTGTTACCTGACAGATTTTAGTAATTTAGAGATAAATGAAAATAATGGCATTTACACTATTTTACATTTTAAGAGAACATTATGTGAACAAGTGACTTGTTAGTGGCTCTTCAACATGGACTTGGTCTAAACACCACACCTATGTGTGCATTGTGCATATCAAATAAAATCAATTTTAGTAAATAAATGTCACTTATGCTTTTTCATATCAGTATTTGTAAATGTAAGGAGAAATAAATAATGTCTGAATGTTTACACATGTTGTTTCACGATGAAGTATTATATTTCAATAGAAGCTTATTTTTACTGTTAGTTACATGAGGGGAAATTGAAGTTAAAATAAACTTTAACAGGATAAACTGAGATTCATGCCAAATTTGAAGGCTGCTATTGGTTCATTGAAGGTAAATTCCGTTATTATGTGACTACGCATTACTTTATGGAGAGTTTGTCCTACTAGCTACCTAGTTCTAGTTCTGCCTTAAGAACTAAATGGTGCAACCAAATTAAGTACATATTTAGTTACAAACTAGCTAGTAGTTACTAAGCCCCTAGCATGGACTTTATGTACCAATTTAAGTAAGAACTTACGAACAGCTGGTGCAACTCTACCCATGACAGGCCAGATCCAGTTGAGTAACTGTGGGCATATATCAATGTTGCCTATAGATTTCAGATTTTTTGGGAAAACAGGACTTTCTGGACAGAGTTCCATGTTGAAGTTGTACCCGAAACAACTGTTGCAACCAAAGCTGATAAAATTGTGTGTACGCATACCACCATAATGGATGCCTGAGGGTAATATATGTGGCCTGCTCAGATGTTGATGTACGCCAACTTAATTGGAAATGCCACTTTATAAGTTAATCTTTCAAGTCACTCGGTAATGATGTGACCAACCCTGGGTGGCAAGTCTTACATCTTCTGATGCTATTAGCATAAGGCCACCAACGTGCTTCCAGAGAGCCATGTGGGAATATACCCGCCAGACATTTCAGTATGTCTCAAGACGTACACACCTCCAGAAGAGAAAAGAGGGGAAGTGAGAGGAGCTGCCGGTGAATAGCTGAGGGGGGAAGGAGAGAAGGGAAATGGAAGGAACGAAGGCTGGGTTAATCCCTGTGAAAGGGAGGGCCGGGCCCAGGCAGTGAGGAGACAAGCGCCGGTAAAACCCCCTACTGCTGGGAGACGGCTACATCACTTACATGGGATTTAGCTAATCTTAGCTGGGGGACAGATACTTAGAAAACCTCGGCGAGGAGAGAGGAAAAGGGATGGATCCACCTCACGGGAGCACAATAATGATGTTAGCTTAGGCAGGCAGGAAAAGGAGAGTGGGAAAAGAGGATATATGGACGGTATGGCCTTTCGGATCACCTTTTTCTTCTCCTCGTCCATCGGGCTTGAAGGGAGAGGTGGGGGCTTCTTGTCAGGGTCCTGTTTTTGCCCAGACCTCCTACCTGCCTGTGGGGACAGATTATGGGAGGTGATTTACTCAGGAATTAGCCATAGTCCATTCGTAATAGTCATGAGTGAGCATAAGGTGTTGGCTGGGCAGCGACTGACGGACGGGAGTTAAGGTCTGATGATGATGAGGTTCAGGTGTGCGGGGCTGAGCTAGCTCTTATCATCCTCATGGTGGACCAGAAGAGTGAGGGACATACAGGAGAGGGACAGATTTACCGTAAGCCGATCCCCAGATTTAAGGGTGCTGCCTCTGGCCTATGTTTGTGTATTAAGGTGCCTGTCATGTAGTGACCATTTTCCCTCTCTCACCATGGTCTGTTCTCATCCCAAACAGATAAAAGAAGCTGCAGACATCATTCAGAAATTGCACCTGATTGCTCAGGAGCTGCCGTTTGATAGGTAAGCGACTTGGCCCTGATCTTGGAGGTTTGGGGAACAGTGTACAATGTTGTGCTGTACAAGAGATCATATAAACAGCATTGATTGCACGTTAAAGGCCAAAGCATACTTTGGTTTTTAATGTGTATGCTTAGTGTATGGATAAAACCAAACATATACAGTGGGGCAAAAAAGTATTTAGTCAGCCACCAATTGTGCAAGTTCTCCCACTTAAAAAGATGAGAGAGGCCTGTAATTTTCATCATAGGTATACCTCAACTATGAGAGACAAAATGAGAAAAAAAAATCCAGAAAATCTCATTGTAGGATTTTTAAAGAATTCATTGGTAAATTCCTCGGTAAAATAAGTATTTGGTCACCTACAAACAAGCAAGATTTCTGGCTCTCACAGACCTGTAACTTCTTCTTTAAGAGGCTCCTCTGTCCTCCACTCGTTACCTGTATTAATGGCATCTGTTTGAACTCATATCAGTATAAAAGATACCTGTCCACAACCTCAAAGAGTCACACTCCAAACTCCACCATGGCCAAGACCAAAGAGCTGTCAAAGGACACCACAAACAAAATTGTAGACCTGCACCAGACTGGGAAGACTGAATCTGCAATAGGAAAGCAGCTTGGTGTGAAGAAATCAAATGTGGGAGCAATTATTAGAAAATGGAAGACATACAAGACCACTGATAATCTCCCTCGATCTGGGGCTCCACGCAAGATCTCACCCCGTGGGGTCAAAATGATCACAAGAACTGAGAGCAAAAATCCCAGAACCACACGGGGGGAACTAGTGAATGACCTGCAGAGAGCTGGGACCAAAGTAACAAAGGCTACCATCAGTAACACACTGCGCCGCCAGGGACTCAAATCCTGCAGTGCCAGACGTGTCCCCCTGCTTAAGCCAGTACATGTCCAGGCCCATCTGAAGTTTGCTAGAGAGCATTTGGATGATCCAGAAGAGGATTGGGAGAATGTCATATGATCAGATGAAACCAAAATAGAACTTTTTGGTAAAAACTCAACTTGACCAGAAGAGGATTGGGAGAATGTCATATGGTCAGATGAAACCAAAATAGAACTTTTTGGTAAAAACTCAACTTGACCAGAAGAGGATTGGGAGAATGTCATATGGTCAGATAAAACCAAAATTGAACTTTTTGGTAAAAACTCAACTTGAGGAGAAAGAATGCTGAGTTGCATCCAAAGAACACCATACCTACTGTGAAGCATGGGGGTGGAAACATCATGCTTTGGGGCTGATTTTCTGCAAAGGGACCAGGACGACTGATAAGTGTAAACGAAAGAATGAATGGGGCCATGTATCGTGAGATTTTGAGTGAAAACCTCCTTCCATCAGCAAGGGCATTGAAGATGAAACGTGGCTGGGTCTTTCAGCATGACAATGATCCCAAACACACCACCCGGGCAACGAAGGAGTGGCTTCGTAAGAAGCATTTCAAGGTCCTGGAGTGGCCTAGCCAGTCTCCAGATCTCAACCCCATAGAAAATCTTTGGAGGGAGTTGAAAATCCGTGTTGCCCAGCGACAGCCCCAAAACATTACTGCTCTAGAGGAGATCTGCATGGAGGAATGGGCCAAAATACCAGCAACAGTGTGTGAAAACCTTGTGAAGACTTACAGAAAACGTTTGACCTCTGTCATTGCCAACAAAGGGTATATAACAAAGTATTGAGATGAAATTTTGTTATTGACCAAATACTTATTTTCCACCATAATTTGCAAATAAATTCTTTAAAAATCCTACAATGTGATTTTCTGGATTTTTTTTATCATTTTGTCTCTCATAGTTGAGGTATACCTATGATGAAAATTACAGGCCTCTCTCATCTTTTTAAGTGGGAGAACTTGCACAATTGGTGGCTGACTAAATACTTTTTTCCCCCACTGTAACCTTTCAAAGTATACTCCATTTGATAGCGTGCACGTACACAGGTGCTCAACACATGCAAAGTAGAAAGGTTCATCTTTGTCCATTATCTGTGCTGTTTCTCTCCATTATGATCAAGTATTTGATTAAACTAGAGTTGCAGGTATCTCTTAACCCTCTCACACAAGCACTTGTCAACACTGCCCTCTTTTGTTACTGTGGATTCTGGTACCTGTTGTTTTTCCTTTTTTTTTTTTTTTTTTACCATTTCGACTGTGAAACAATAGACTGTGATGATGCCATCTCTGCAGAACAAATAATTATGGCACAAAAATTATGTTTGCATGTTCAACCTGAGAGACCTAGAAAAATCGTATTTTATAATTTCATATTTTGATGACAAAATTAATGCATGTGCACTGCATGCATGCCCTAGCGTACATGTAAAGGTCAAAGTATACTTTGGGCTTAAAACTGAAGAGTGGAATTCTGCACCACTAGCTCCACTGAATGGAATTGCAAAAATGTTGCAGTCAAACAGGTTTTCAAAAACTTCTCCCATCTGCCTTTGGTCATATTTTAACTTCAGCTTTAAGAAAATGCAACAGGCAAAATTCAAAGCAAGCAAACGTGGTAATGCATTGACCAAGACATGACAAGTGAAAATGTCTTCATTCACATAGTTTGTTTTGACTGTGTCTGAGATTTAAGCAAAGGTTCAAACATGCTTATTGTTTTTAGTGGTCTGAAAAGAGATTTGTATAAAATTCCCTCTGTTCTTCTCTCTTTTCCATGCTTGTTTTCCTTGTTATGTCCCTATTCAGATTTTCTGACGTCAAGGCCAAGATAGCAAGTAAGCAGCTGTAGACTAAACAAGACAGCAATGTTATTTACACATCTGCTAAATATGCAGTGTTAACATAAGACCTGTGTTTATTTGAAAGGTAAATATCATGACCTTGAGCGTCAGCTGATCCAGGAGTTCACAGCAGCTCAGCGAAGGGGAGAGATTGGGCGCATGCGTGAGTTGGCAGCAGTTCTGCTACATTTTAAGGTGTGTTGGGAGATACAGTGAAGAGCCCTCGGGATCATAATACTTTTTATTTTGGACATTTGTTCATTTATAATATTAAATTATTATTTCTTATCTTATTTATTACAGGGTTATGCCCACTGTGTGGATGTCTACATCAAGCAATGCCAAGAGGTACCAGATTGAATCTGAGACTGAGAGTGTTTCTGTTCTATTTACATATCTATCAAGAAGCTAAATGTTTGTCTGTTGTATCACCAATGTCTTTTGGTGTTTGTAGGGAGCGTACATGCGGAATGATGTATTTGAAGACATTGCCATTCTGTGTCAGCGGGTTAATAAACAGGTTGGAGAGGTTTTCTGCAGTCCAGAGACTGTCATGGCTAAACTCATTCAGAGCATCTTTGAGAATAGGATACAGGTTCGTAACACATGTACACATTAACAAATTATATAATTGTGCTTGCTAAGGCTGTTGCTCATGCTTTATATAAGAGACATGAACAAATGAAATTTTGCCTGGTGGGCAATAAAAAAATCTGTAGATCCAGTCAAACTTTTTGGTCCGATCATTATGATAGGCTTTCCTACCTGCCTGTCAACATGTGTATTTGCATACCTCTGCGCATCCTGTTCGCGCAGACCTAATACGTCATCAGTGCGTTCACGTTCGCTGTGCAGACGGAGCGAGAATGGCAGGCAAACAACAACAACAACAACCTGACCTTCCTTCTTTTTTTGGTATTGTAGTACTGTTACTAACTGTACTATAAAGTTTTCTCACCGGTGAATGACACATGATGTATTGTAGTAATGTTGTCTCTGGTCGTCAGGTCTGTGTGCGTTCATGCATTCAGGAGGCATAGCTTTGGACGCCGATTTGCACAGAAAAAGTTAGCATTTTCCAAGATGTCCTACTGCACCTTTAATGGACATAGTTAAAAAGTTTTCTCTTGAAATAATTTTAGAATTTTTGTCATATAGTAAGTTGAAAGATAATTGTTAATTGTTAAAATTAGATTTTTTTTTTTTGGTATTGTTGTTATTGTTATTTTAGTTTATATTGTTTTTTTTTAGTATGTTGAGTTAAGACACAATTGTTAAATTATTGTGGATATTGATTGAGTGATATAATTTATAGATTTTTTTCCCCCATGAATATAGCCATTGCTGCTGATATATATGTGGTGTGCAGTGATGTTCTGAAATAAGGAGGCAAAGATTTTTTTTAGAATCAAATGTAAATTCATGACACAATCACATTACTTACACTATCAGAAAAAGAGGAAAAAAACAAACAAACAATAACAATTATATTATATTTTGTATTTTTACATTAACAATGTAATCAATATTCTATTTATTAAAGCCCAGTATGAATCTCAAGTTACTGTTTTTAAGCATTTTACATTTATTCCAATATAATTATTAAAGGCAGTAACAGTTTAAACTATCTATTTTATTTGGGAACTTTTGTTCAGCTATTCTTTTTAATTGTTAACTTTTAACTATTTTTGATTGATTTTAGATTTTTTTTCGGTTCATTAGTCATCAAAGCTCAGTAAATATTGGTCACAGACACATAGATTTACCTTAAATTTCACCAAGCTGATTACTTTCTTAAAAACTCCCACAGATCATGTTTTCAGGCCATTTCAAGTCTTATATAAGTGGTTATATCTAAGTGTGTGAGTTGTTTACTAATTATTTTTTTAATTAGTCTTCATAATTAATGCCATTATATTGTTCATTCAGACTGATTCATGAATGCGGAACGTACACAAACACAAGAGGCAGGATTTATCGCATGAGCCAGTCACAGCCGATCATAACCAGTCGTATCCAATCATGTCGCGATGGAGGCATTGCCTACTCTCGCGTGATTATTTTCCCCATTCACTCTCCATTACCCCCCACCCACCACATGTTTTAGGGGGTCTGTTAAAACTCAATGGGCTCAGGGGAGGCAAGAGAGACGCCCACTCCCGCTGTAACTTTACCTGCTGGAGTGGACTGTGTTTCTTTATAAAAACGAGTGATTTATACACTTTTTTTTAAATGTCATATTTTGTAATATTTGCATTGTTTTGTTTTAGTGCTAAATAATTTTCTTCTCATCCAATTTTTTTAGGAGGCACTGCCTCCCTTGTCTCCTTCGAGGAAATGCCCCTTTTTTATACATGTACATATATATATATATATATATATAAGAAAACACAATGAAGGACAAAGAAGCACGTTACATGAAATGGAACAAGTGGCAGTTGTGGAGTCTAAATCTGCATTTAGACTCCAAGACTCATGTTATAACTATAAAAGCTATCTTCACTGCACAATAAATGTCTTATTTGCATCATGTTTACACTTCGTTGATTATAATGAAAGCTTGAATGCTTCTGATTGACCATTTTGTTTATGCAGACATGTCTGTGGTTGGCTGCAATGCTCAACACTGCAAAAACATGTTGTAAATTGAAACTTTTGATGGTGCTTACAGAGCGCACACGAAAATACATGTGAAAGTATTTGAAAGCAGCTGCCTATCAACAGGTGCCACATTAATTGACTCATAAACTGACTTATGATTTTAGGCTCATGTCAAAGAAAGACTAGAGGAGACACGCCACTCTGATGTGGAGCAATACCTCAAGAACCTCTATGACCTCTATTCACGGTATCAATCAGAATTTCATTATTATTAATTATTACAATTGTTCATTTTGCTCTCATAAAACCCTGTTTTTGTCTTGTCTGAAATGGTTTAAAGTCTCAAATGTTTGTCAAATTAACTTGCTTTACTGAGCTTTTTTCACCAGCTTTGAACTGTCATAACCCGTTTGTTTCTAGGACAACGGCACTGGCTGCTAAACTCACAGACTTTAACTTGGGCTCAGACAAGCACACTTTTCTATCTAAACTGATAAAAAATATATTCTCCTGTTATCTGGAGAGCTACATAGACATGGAGCGACAATATCTGCAAAACCGCAGTGGCTTGATTCTTCAGCGCTATTATGACTCTAAGAACCACCAAAAACGTCCTGTAGGCACTGGGAGGTGAGGAACTGTTGGTTGGTTGGTTGGTTTTTTCCCCATTCTTTTTCCAGAGTTACTATGAAACCTTAGTGCTGTTTTTTTCAGATACATGTCTTTTATAGATCTCTTACCGTTACTGCCATCTCTTGTCCTCATTTTGACAGTATGCAGGAGCTAAAAGAGAGGATCAGACAACGCACTAACCGGCCTCTGGGATCCAGTATTGACACGCATGGAGAGACTTTCCTCTCACAAGAGGTTGTAGTCAACCTGTTGCAGGAAACCCGACATGCCTTTGAGAGATGCAACAAGGTATATGAATTTTAAGCACTACTTTAGTACAAAAACACCTCTAGTCTTTTGTTTCTGTTGAAAGTTGTTGGCTGATATTAGCAAGATAGATCATTTTTCTGTCTTTGTTGCAGTTGTCAGACCCAGCAGATCTACCAAAAAATGCCTTCTCTATTTTCCTGCTTTTGGTGGAGTACCTGTGTGTGGACCATATAGACTATGCGCTTGAGATTGGGCTGTCAGGTATGGCAAACACAGAACGGTTGATAGTAAAATGTTGCACAGTAATGTAATTACGGGTTTGTTTAAATCAAGGTTATTATCGTAAATTAAACTGAAAATTTAATTTTAAAAAACGTTTTCATTGACATAAATATTAACTGGAAAAAAAGCATTATGAGAATTACTAGTCAAGTCAAGTCTGCTTTATTGTCAATTCTTCCACATGTACAGCACATACACACAGAGAATTGAAATTGCGTTACTCTCAGACCCTTGGTGCATACAGATAACACTAACAGTAGAACATAAATACAGATAGATACAGATTTAAATATAAAATACAACTATACAATTATACAAATAAGGTAAAATGTAAAAAAAAATATAAAGCAGCACAAGGCGCATGGCAGATAGAGTGCAAACCAGTGAAGTGAAGTAAACAACAGTGCAGATATAATGACTCCATACTACCATTATGGAGAAAGGCCAAACACAGATGCAAAGCGGAACACAAGAAAAAAAGGGAAGATCTGAGACATTTTTAAAAGGTTGAACTTCTTGTAACTTAACATGACTTTCTAAAAATGGTAAAAAAAAAAAAAAAAAGGTTAAAGGGGTCATAGGATGCTACATGCACTTTTACAAGTTGTTTGAACTGAAATGTGTGTTGGCAGTGTGTGTACACAACCCCCCTATAATGATAAAAATCCACCCAGTGGTTTTTTGTTAATCTACTAAAATCTTTACCCCTTTCTCAAATCGAGCCGATCTCAGATCCCCTCCCACGATAGTTTGATTGGCAGTAGTGTTTCAGCACAGATTGGACTGGTGTCTTACCTCAGACCCGCCCTGAGTGAGCTGTCATCAGTCTGCCATTGTTTCACCGCCGTAGCAGATGTAGACAAGAATGACTCCTAAGCGATTGAGGTGTTCTGTTGTTGGATGTAAAAAATTAACATAGCAGTCGTCATTTACTCCCGACATCTGAACCGCTGAAGACGCAGTGGATTACATTGTTTCTGAAGGGAATGCGCCCCCGATCTACATAAATGTGTCTATGTTTGCGCGAATCATTCATGATCCAGCCTCATCTACAGAAGAAGTGAGTATAATGTTTTGTAATGAATCTTTGCAAATCGCCTTTCCTAATAATGTGCTAATTAGCAAGATTCATGATGAATGCGGCTAAAGTCAACGGTCTCTCTGAGAGCAGCTCGGAAGAGAGGGGCGGGGGCAGCAGAGCTCATTAACATTTAAAGGAAAATGCTACAAAAACGGCTTGATCTGAAAAGAGCTGTTTTTGACAGGGTAAAAAAGGTGTTTTTTACACTACCATTGAGAAATTTTAAACAAACTATGTTACAGACTTCTCATTAAGACCCTAAAGAATCATATCAACTTGTGGAAAATGGGCATCCTGTGACCCCTTTAATAAATAAATAAAATAAGCGTCCATCAAGAACAGGGGTATCAAACTCAATTCCTGGAGGGCCGGAGCCCTGCAGAGTTTAGATTCAACCCTAATTAAACACACCTGATCCAACTAATCAAATCCTTCAGGCTTATTTGAAAACTACATGAAATGTGTGTTGGAGTAGGGTTGGAACAAAACTCTGCAAGGCTCCGGCCCTCCAGGCATTGAGTTTGACACCCCTGATCAAGAGAGAACCTAAATATCAGGGAATTTTCAGATTAAAATATTAAAATCATTGAAATTGTCATTGTCATTGAAATTGTCAATGTCATTTTTTTCTAGTTTTGCTCTGTTCTGACATATTTAATCAGATAGATACTGCTCTTGTATAGAGTTAAACTTGCTAAGATAAAAGACAATGATGTGTGAACCAGACCAGTTCACAAGATTGTCTGAATTATTTATTATTGAATCAGTCTGAAAATTAATTAAAATAAGTTTGAAAAACTATTAAAGGGGTCATATGATGCTTTTTTAAAGATCATTATTTTTTGTATTTGGTGTAACCGAATATGTTGACTTGCTTTAATGTTTAAAAAACACATTATTTTTCAAATACTGTACATTATTGTAGGTCCTCTATGCCCCGCCTCTCTCAAACCAAATAATCTCCATGACCCCATGAGAAATCATAGAAATTTGTTAGTGCAGTGGGAACTGTTATTTACAAATTGGGGGAATCCAGATACTGTATACAGTCCATTACACAAAAAGCATGTTTTCCCGTCAATATAAAAACTAAATTAAAAACAATAATGTACTGAAAAACATAAAAAATGTAAAACTATTACAACCTTGGTTTAAATGGAATTGAAGTCAAATTGACACAATGATCTATTTTTTTTTTCCTGAAAAAGACAGGAGCTTTTAAGTGAAACATAATGAAATACAAATGATACCCATTAGATGTTTCATTAATTTGCGTGTTTTATGATTCTTGTAATCCTACAAAGTGGATTTCTTGTAGTCATTCAAATTCTTGTAGTCCTGCAGAATTTTACAGAGTTGTGCAGTTCAGTTTAGTCCCTGTCAGCTAGTCATGGGTCACATGGTTTATGTTCAGTTTGTTCTTTACATGATGACCACAGGAAAAAGATTAATTTATCCACAAGTGTATCCCAGTGTAGCTGTGTGCCATTAGGTTTAAATAGTAAGTTGTTATTATTATGTGTAAGTGAAACTGTAGTGCTTTGCATTCACAAAAATCAAGTCAAGAGAGTTAATTTAAAGTTTCTTACTCCAACATTGTGATGCTGATGTGGTAAATATGATAATTCTTACATGACTTGAAGGCAGCATTAGCTCCACTGCTAATCAGACACATTTGCACCAAATCACATGAATGCATCTGAAGTGGACTTTAGACGACAATACTCTTTTATTTGTATTTTGACTTGCACAGCCATCCCATCTCCAGATGCCAAAAATGCCAACCTCTACTTTTTGGATGTGGTTCAGCAGGCCAACACAATCTTTCACCTCTTTGATAAGCAGTTTAATGATCATCTTATGCCTCTTATTAGGTGAGTTTGACCGACTTTGTTTTACTAGCTTTTGTCTCTGCGACCGCTGACTGGTGTCTTTACCGTGACATTGTTTGAACTCTAACCCCTGTAGCTCCTCTCCTAAGTTGACGGAGTGCCTGCACAAGAAGAAAGAGGTGATCGAACAGATGGAGGTGAAGCTGGACACCGGGATTGATCGGTTGGTTCAAAACTCTCAGAAATCTCTGTTTAATGGAGCTTCATTCTCAATCAAAGCATATCTTTGTCTTCATCGTTGCCATTAAATGCAATTTCTGTGACCTGTTTCCTTGTTTTTAGGACACTAAATTGCATGATAGGCCAGATGAAGCACATCCTGGTGACTGAACAGAAGAAAACAGACTTCAAGCCAGAAGATGAGAACAATGTCATGATACAGTACACTACAGTAAGATCATAAAATCATGTAATTGTCTTGTGAAGCTTATATCAGTGCAGTGAAAAGATTCTGTGAATAACAGCCTGAGAAATATTAAGACTCTGTTAACGCACCGTTAACTCTGTAGAATAATTTTTAGTATTAGTAGCCACATTCTGCTTGATTTTGTTGTGTGTAATATGTCATCTGTCCTGTGCTCTTTCTTCAAGGCATGCTCAAAGGTGTGTGCCTATGTGAGCAAGCAGGTGGAGCGTGTGCGGCGGTCCATGGATGGTAAGAATGTGGACACAGTCTTGACTGAGCTGGGAGTGCGGTTCCATAGGCTGATCCACGAGCACCTGCAGCAGTTCAGCTACAGCTCCATGGGTGGTATGCTAGCCATCTGTGATGTGGCAGAATACCGCCGCTCTGCCAAAGATTTCAGGGTAAGGAGAGGTCAAAGGTCTTGTTTTTGCCACCTCATGGCATTATGTATATTTTATTCAGCAATTACTCACTCTCATCTTGTTCCAAACCCATAAGACTTTCATTCATCTTTGAAACACAAATGAAAATATTTTTAACGAAACAGAGATTTCTTTCCCTCCGTTAAATTTCCTCAAAACTTAACCGCTTCAAAAGGTGCATAAAGACATTGTAAAAGTCATCAATTTGAATGGATGGATTTAAATTATTTTGAAGAGACAAGCTTACTTGAATGTGAATATTTAATTTAGACTTTTATTCACATAAAAGCATTGATCAGTGCACATACATAGAGCTCATCAAATATAGTAAAAGCCAAACCGTAAGTGCTTGACATGCACCTGGCTCATTGGCTCTAATGGAACCTCAATCATGCTTGCGTAACATGCAAGAAGAGACATCTTTGGCTTTGTATTATAACCAGATCCATGCAAAGCTGGGAAGGTTTTTCACGTCTTCTGCATGGATTATGAGAGAAAATCTTAATTTAAATTAATTCATATATAGAAAAATGAGATAAAATGCCCTGAATGCTACATTTTATTGATTAGGAATGCAGTATACTTTTTCTATAGCGGATTTCATGTGTGGTGATGCCTTAATTCACTTCTTTTAGTATTTACCGTTTTATTTTTTGAGAGATTTCTTTCCCTCCGTTAAATTTCCTCAAAACTTTACCGCTTCAAAAGGTGCATAAAGACATTGTAAAAGTCATCAATTTGAATGGATGGATTCAAATTATTTTGAAGAGACAAGCTTACTTGAATGTGAATATTTAATTTAGACTTTTATTCACATAAAAGCATTGATCAGTGCACATACATAGAGCTCATCAAATATAGTAAAAGCCAAACCGTAAGTGCTTGACATGCACCTGGCTCATTGGCTCTAATGGAACCTCAATCATGCTTGCGTAACATGCAAGAAGAGACATCTTTGGCTTTGTATTATAACCAGATCCATGCAAAGCTGGGAAGGTTTTTCACGTCTTCTGCATGGATTATGAGAGAAAATCTTAATTTAAATTAATTCATATATAGAAAAATGAGATAAAATGCCCTGAATGCTACATTTTATTGATTAGGAATGCAGTATACTTTTTCTATAGCGGATTTCATGTGTGGTGATGCCTTAATTCACTTCTTTTAGTATTTACCGTTTTATTTTTCTTTATAAAAAATATACTAGTCTGCAAAATGAATAAAGGGGTTGTAATGTCAACTATTTATATGGTTATTTGCCAAAAAATATGCATTAATTATTATAAAATTAATTATTTTAAACAGTTTTCACCTCTTAATATTTTTGTGGATAACAGTGTTGCACAATGATTCAATAGGTTTAGATTTAAAACAGAAAGAAATTAAAGAAATTATTAGTTTTAATAGCAAGGATTCTTTAAATGAATCAAACGTGGCAGTAAAGAGATTTCATAATGTTAGAAAATATTTATTTTTCAAATAATTGTTGTTCTTTTGAGAACTTTCTATTCATCCAATAATCTGAAAAAGCTGCCTTTTTTATTCCCAATAAAGAGAGAAATTGAATACATTCCTCACCACAACCAACCAGCAATTATTTAAAAAATGGTTCACAACAGTGACATAATTAAAGCTAAACTTCTTGCTTCAATAGATGACATAAACTGTACCTATGCCTCTGCAGGAAAGTTATCATTCGCGTGTGTGGGGTTATTGAACAGCATTGTGAATTAAAGTATTTTAATTGAGAAATGGATCAATTCAACAATTTATGCTTCTTCGAATATATTAGATATGCACTAAACAGCTGCATCCACATCCTCCACAGGTTCCTCTCGTGCTCCAGCTCTTTGACACGCTTCATGCTCTGTGTAACCTCCTGGTTGTTGCCCCGGACAACCTCAAACAGGTGTGCTCTGGAGAGCAGCTGACCAACCTTGACAGGAACCTCCTCCATGCTTTCGTCCAACTGAGAGTAGATTATCGCTCAGCCCGACTGGGACGGCATTTCAGCTAATGACTGGCAGGGCTGCTCAATTACCGCACGGCCTACAGAACTGCCGTCCATTCAGAGCTGCGACAAACACAAGTGGCCAATCTTGAGTGGCTTTTGAACCGTCTTTGTCTGTGATTCAGTGTGGAAATTAAACTTTTGTGTTTAACGAACAAAAGGACAGCTGTTTCAAAGCTCAACACTTCCCAGGTTGCTCAGTTTTAAGTTGTGCGTTTTGTTCTGTATGCAGGTTTTAATGTGAGCGTAGTGTTTGGCTCATATTTTGTTTATGATATAATTTTAAAAGCATATATAATGAAGGTAGAGGGCTGTTTTGTACGTCCCCCCCGTGTCTTCGGCTTCTAATGGAGAGAGGATGATCATCTCAGTTAGATGAACTGAGGTGGGCCACTCGAATGATTCTGCCACTGGACTTGGGTGGTCAAGAGACTCATTTTTATTTGCTTTTATTTTGATTGTGCCAAATCCATCCTCTGTGGCTCTACTGGGAAGAAAGAAAGGCACGCTGCTCTGGATCAACGAGTTGGTCCAGCTCATTTCACTCAGGCTCTTGTGCACACATAGGGCTTCAAAGAGAAGACAATTACTGTTTTGAGCTGAACAATGCAGGTGTTATACAAATGTAGCCATGCTTTGAAAGGTAATTTTGTTCTAAAATAATTTCATACTCGTAAAATACCATCTTCAATGGTTTTAAACATGAGTGCATTAATTTTAAGATTCATTTAGAGATGTTTGAGGCTGAATTCTGTCCAAAAATAACAATATGCTGCCCTGCAACCTGCAAAGCTGACCTTTCCTATGCTCAAATTTAACTTCATACATGAACAACAGTTATTTTGAACTTCATTATATAAATAATCAAGTAACATATGGGTGAATTTCAAATAATTTCACCACTTTGGTTTGAGCAGATGTTGAATATATATAGTTCTGAGAATATTGTTTTAATTGGTAATCCGATAAATGTTTACATAAATCGTTTAAGTCTATTTTTCAATTTTGAATAAAAGCACGAGTTTAAAAATGACTAATCACATTCAGAGATTTCATATGAATATCGTTATTCGCTTTCCAATCTATTCACCCATTGTTTTAAGTGGAAAAATGTGGAAGTCTTATTAACAAAGTACATGAAGGAGAATATATATAATATGTATATGCGTATGTTCTTCTTGGAACAGACTTGATAAGTCTTTGAAAAAAATAGACCGTTCTCAAGGACTCATCGTTTATTCTTAACCATGAAGGTTTAGGGTAATGTCTTCTTCCCAAAGGAGTAAAATTATTCCCGCGACTTAAAAGACAAAATGGGAGAAAACTGCTTAGCTTAACCGCCCAGCAGTGTCTAAGATGTGTGCGGTCGTCACGGCCAGGAAAGGCAGAGAGAGATAGAAACGCTTCAGAGCTGAACTGAGCTTCTGTTTTCACCACAGTGTGCCGTTTCTACGATGGCAAACAGGCAAAGTTAAACAGCACTATTAATTAGGCTAATATGAATATGATCACTGCCAGGAAAATTCAATTCTCTCTGCCCTAATCACAACTGGATAGCTTGTAAAAATTATTTTGTTAGGCCCTGGTGCAAACAGCGCGGCCTTTTCCAAACATTTGAGAACTATTTGTTTTGCGTGGCGATTAGCGTTTGCTGGTAGCGAGCGCGGGAAGCGATAACCGTTGAGAGGGAACGGCTGACTCAGGGTGAGTGTGAACGCGGGCCGCTGCTGTTGTTTACTGAGGCCTGTGTGTTTGAGCAGGTGGTGAGGATTAGCGGTGCTGTCAACACTGAACGCTGGATGAAGCTCTGCTCACCCTTTCCTCAGTCTGCTCACTAGAGCTCAACATTTGAGCATTTCACTCTCACACACATATCTGAAGAGGTAAGGTTTGTTTGGGGGAAGGAAACTGTTCACAGAAGTTTCCTCATGAGGACTGCTGATCTTTCTCCAGTTGTGGATCAGTAACGTTAGGCTATCCAAAAGTTGTTAGACGTCCAAGTCTACTTTCCCCCCACATTTTGTTACAATAGTTAATTTAGCAAACTTTGCAGGAAAGTTCTCCGTTAGTTAAATGTTATAGTGTACAAATTGTTTGTTTTTTAAAAGTGTCCAAAAACAATGGTTTGGTATTGGTTGAATGTCACCTACGATATTTTCACAGAAATTGACTTTCAAAAATAAAACTACCCTGAGAAATATTGACTGGAAGAAATAGCCTCAATTTTTGTACACACTCTAGTGTGCCTATGAATTAGCTGTGCTTAATTCTAGTAGGCATTTTATGTACATTACAGTTTCAGAAAACTTGCATTAAACACAAAGGGGCCAAACTTTCTTATGAAATATATTAGCATTTGCTTATTTAGGCTATTAAATATTATGCATAAACATGAGCAACAATAGTTATACATAACATCTAATTAGCATATTGCTGATTATTGCTGTTTTTAGCAATAAATACAAATTAAAAATAATAATGAAATTAGATTTTTGAAGGGCAAATTATAGTGTCTGGTAAAACACGCACTGAGTCCTGACTGTTCACTGCAGAGGACATTGTATCACATTCAGTCTTGCAAACTAAAATTATACTCTAATATGATGAAAGGGTTATTTACCAGAAACGATATAATTCTAAAATATAAATGCTAGGTACAAAATAACATATACCTACCACTCTTTTTCCCCCATACAACAGATTTTTTTTTTTTAGTATATAAACATAGTTGTTAAAAATATTGTTTCAGTCAAACCCCCAACAGTGGCATATATGGCCTCAGAGAAATTCATGAATGTCATATACAGAGAACAGAAAGAAAAGAAAATCTTAAGGTTTTGCATATGTGTTTTGTTTTATATCATATTTGATGGCCTGTATAATATGATATAGTGATAATATGTTTTTGCCCAAGTGGAGCAAAAAAATTGCATATATATTAATTAGATGGACAAATGATATTTATATACATTTTATGAAATGCAATTTATATATATATATTATAAAATTCTGATAGCTTGTAATGTGTTCTTTACAGTAGCAGACTGCTTTCATAAAATGAATATAAATATCAGTTGTCCATCTATATCTCTCAATAATATGTCTTAATAATATATTTAAATGCTCGGTTTTAAGATTAAAGCTCTGTAGTTTTTTTTTGTGGAGCACAAAACAGAATGCAATACAATGATGATTGAGAGAGAAAGTGTGTAATATATATTAGATACTCACATTTTAACATGATAAAAAAAAAAATTATGTTTGGATAATCAAGTAAACCTAAACTGCTTCAGTCCTGTTAGTGGACTTGAGTTTACTTTATAAAAATCATTAAAACTTTCACAGGAAAAAAATAAAAAACACTGTACCTGAAGGTGGACATTTTTAGGATGATACTAAAATTGATTTTAATTGCTAAAAGGTATGAATAATCAAACAAGACATTTAGTAGATTTTGTAAAAAGTTTTGATCATGTTGATATTTTAGAGGCCTTAGAAACCTATGTATCAAATATGATACATCATTGTTTAAGGCTTTGTATTAACCAGATATACACCTCACATCCTCATGTTGTTGTTTCTCAGAGTTAACGTTTCACTTCAGGTTTCTGGGCCCCAAACTGAAGAATAAAAGATCAAACCCATCTTGATGTTCCTTGGTCATATTCTTACAACTTCACTGTAGCTTGTGGTTACAAGAGCCTACCCACACACTTAATTAGTTATTAAATAGTAAATCCAGTATTGTTCGCAGCGTTATTAGAGCTCCCACAACCGTTCCTTTGGTCCACGCTGCCTCCAGTGCCCTCCAGTGTTATGGCAGCCCACAAATCCCAGCTTGAGCGCATCACTCTCTCGAATCGCCCTCTCTCTGCCTCCTGGAGCAGTGACAATACAGCATTACAGCACTCAGTCCATGTCAACAGCAGCTTTGCTTAATGCCAGCTCAAAGCTTTTAAGCTAAATCTTCACCTAATGATGCTGAACGATTAGCCCTTTGCTCTTATGGCTGTCGATAGACTCGTATCAATTAGTGATTGTTTGTTTGTTTGTTAGTGTACTGAAGTAAAGCTCTTGTGCATTACAGTATTTGAGTTTCAGGTGCACTGTACAGTATAGGGGTTGAATGACTTCTGATTTTTTTAAAGTCGACTTTTATGTGATAAAAGTCGAGTCGAAGTCGACTAGTTGCTGATGACGTCATTAATGAACACATAAGTCTGGAGCTGTGACAAACACCTTGTGCACAGCTATGGCATATGACACAGTGCTGCCCACATGGCTATTGCTCATATAGCAGCACATTTTTATCAGTTATTTTGTCTTTGGGTCGTTATATTTCTCACAGATTTCTGCTCGTTCTAGATACAGATAAAGTAGCACAGTAAAGATTACATTAATATGAATGCATTAGTGAGAGCGATTGCGTGTCTGAATTAATTCTGCCGGGCAGCGTCTCTCTACTAGTAGTGAAGCTGTGGGGTTTAGTTATTAAAGGGGTCATATGATGCTGCTAAAAAGAACATTATTTTGTGTATTTGGTGTAATGAGATGTGTTTATGCGGTTTAAAGTAAAAAAAAAAAACATTATTTTCCACATACTGTACATTATTGTTTCTCCTCTATGCCCCGCCTTTCTGAAACTCGTCGATTTTTACAAAGTTCATCAGTCTGAAAAAGCGAGGTGTGCTGTGATTGGCCAGCTATCCAATGCGTTGTGATTGGCCGAATACCTCAAGCGTGAGATGGAAATGTTACGCCTTGAGAAATCACAGAACAGTGTTAACAATACATTTCCGCACTGAATGATTCTGTGTGCGCGTGATGTGTGCGTGATGTACGAGCTACTGTCTGTACTGTCTGTGCGTTACAGTGCAGCAGCGCATTAGATTAAAACGGCGATTAATTTACCTGTACAATAAGCTGTTTAAAATGTGCATTCTCCTGTTCAATTTCGAGCATCCAGTAATATAATCACACATGTCTTGTGGAGCGCTTTCAGAGTATGCATTTATTTGTCATTTTAACTGTTTGGAAACGGAGCATAAATGTGGAAGACCTTCAAAGATGTATTATCTTGTTGTGCCCTCTATAGGACCAGCGACTAGTCGACTTCAAGCTTAAAGCGTCATGGCAGAGCATTGAAGTCGATTACTCCTACTGTACAGTACATTTACTTCTCCTTATTTAAAAATAAACACTTGCTTTGGAATTTAAAGAAAGATTAGGGTGCCAAATTCTTGCCATTAGGAAATGTAATATTAAATATGAATTTAATTGAATATTTAATATAAATTT